TCCTGCTCTTTGTCGCTGTCAAAATTGCTCACTACTGGCTTTGCTTTTCTTCAGTTTGGCCTTTTCTTGCCTTTTCTTTGTCCCAGGCTTTCTCATCTCTCTTATTGAGCTTGATTTTCACCTTAACAGATTCTGCCTCAGACTCTTCTTCATCATCCTCTTCCTCTTCCTCATTGCTTTCCTCCTCACTTTCTTCCTCTTTGGCAATTTTCTGCTGTGCGGTCTTTTTTTTCTTTAATGTATTTAGGACAGGGTCTACAGGGTCTAGAGGTTCTCACATCATAGATTAGACTTGTAATGATGAGCCTACCCAAGAGCTGGGATTACGGGTCTGTGCCAACAAACCCAGTCTCAGTCATGTGTCAGCGTGCCCCAGGAGGTGGGGGCCGGCATGCTGGGGATCGAGTCCTGGCCACTGCACTCTGCCTCAGCAGGCACTTTAATCCGCTGAGCTGTCTGGCTGGCCCTTGCCGTGTACTCTTAAACACTGACTGTAAGACAGTGGAATCTTTGTAGATCTGGGATCCTCCAAGTTGAACACCTGAGCATTGTGACACAGAAGCATGACATCTTTCTCCAGGTTGCCCAGGATCTGGTACTTATGATTACAAATTCTTTCCTTTGTTTTTTTGAAATCCACTGGCTTCCTAATTACTTCATAGTATTCTGGTAACTCTTTCCTGAAAGTAAATGAATGAAGACTTCACTGAGCTACTGCCATGAACTATCTTTGTAGTTGATCACAGTATCAGTGCTAGCATTCATCTGTTTCATCAGTTTGAGGGGATTTGGTGACAGTTTCTCAGCTGGGTGGCACCTCACCTCTTAGCTTTTTCTACATCTTCCTTCACAGGATTTTTATCCACATTTTTGTCTTTTACTCTTCTTAAGCCATACTTCTTCCGTTTCTTCCAAATTGCTGTCTTCAGTTAACCCCATAGTTTGCCTCTCACATAGATCATGAGCCACAGGTCTTCTTGCTGTAACCAAGTCTCTCCCAAAGTGCAAAATGTAATTAATATCTTTTTGTCTTTTTCAAACAGGATTTCATTATGCAGTTCAGGCTGGCCTTGAGCTCACTTTGTAGCCCAGACTAATCTCGAACTCATGATCCTCGTGCCTCAGCCTTCCAAGTGCTGGGATTACAGCTGTGAGCCATCATGCCCAGCAGTGCCTTTAATTTGTTTGTTTGTTTCTGTCTGTCTTTCTCCTTTTTTTTTTTTTTTTTTTAGTACCAGGGATTGAACTCAGGACCCTGTGCTTGCCAGGCAAAAGCTTATTTTACTGAGCTATCTCCCCAGCTCCTTCTTTTATGGTACCAGGGATCTAACTCAGGACATTGTGTTTGCCAGGCATGCTCTTATGCCACTGAGCTATATCCCTAGTCTGTACTTTTAATTTCTTTCTTTCTTTCTTTCTTTCTTTCTTTCTTTCTTTCTTTCTTTCTTTCTTTCTTTTTGTATTTTAGTGAAGAGCATACAGGGTGTTCGTCTCACTACTAGACTGGACTTGTAGTGATTTTCCTGTTTAGAGCTTCCCAAGAGCTGGGATTACAGGTGTGTGCCACCACACCATCTCAATCGCTGTCTCAGCATGCCTCGGGGGTGGGGCCAGCACAGCAGGCCCTGGGGATTGAACCCCTGGGCCCTGCGCCTGCTTGCAGGTGCTTTACTCCACTGAGCTACTTGGCCGGCCCCTGCATACTTTTAATTTCTTTGGCTTCATTTTTCACATAGTTCATATTGGGGTAACCTAAGGATTTTAGCATCTCTTAGTTAAGTTGTTTCTACACATGTCATCTTCTTGGTCTAAAAAAAAAAATTGATTGGGGCCGGGGAGATGGCTCAGTGGAATAAGTGCTTCCCTGGCAAGCGCAAGGGCCTGAGTTCAATCCCCCAGTTCCGCCAAAAAAAAAAAAAAAAAAAAAAAAAAAAAAAAAATTGATTTTCTCTAGGTCAGCTATGCTCTACTACTTTCTTTTATTTCATCAAAGAGGGCTGAGGAGATAGCTCAGTAGAATAAGTGCTTGCCTGGCAAGCACAAGGGCCTGAGTTTCATCATCAAATAATATTTTTAACAGCAAAAACATATGGAAGATAATTTGAAAAAGATAAAAATGGTCTATTGAATTAAAATACTGTATATTTAGAAGCTGTGAGCTGGAGGTCAGCCTGGACTACATGGTGAGTTCAAGGTCAGCTTGAACTATATAGCAAGATCCTATCTCAACAACCAAACCAAACCAAACCAAAATAATAATGATGCTAAATTGGAGAATAATACTTAAATAGAAGTACTGAGAAGCAATATTTTAGAATATTAGTGTGAATTGTTGTAGGTCTTTTACCTCATAAAGCTGAATCTGGTCTGGGAACTTCCAGGGAAAACTTTTCACACTTGCATTTTTTTGTCCCCACTCCCTTGGTTAGCAATTACTTTAAATTAAAGTATAATTGATATGTATGTGTTTTTAGACAATTTTTTTTTCATGTTTAGGACCATGTTTTATGCCTGTTTTGTTTTGTCTTTTTTGAGACAAGATCTCACTATGCAATTCAGGCTGTCCTTGAGCTCACTTTGTAGCCCAAGCTGGTCTTGAACTCTCAATGATCCTCCTGCCTCAGCCTCCTGATTTACTGAGATTATAGGCATGTGCCACCATGCCTACCTTGTTTTGTTTTATGAGACAAGGTCTATTTATATAGTTCAGATTGGGTTTGAGCTCACTATGTAGTCCTGGCTGGCCTCAAACTCATGATCCTCTTGCCTCAGGCTCCCAAGTGCTGAGATTACAGGTGTGCACTACCATGCCCAAAATGTCTTATGCTTTTTTTTTTTTTTTAAACATTTATTTATTTATTGTGTGTGTGTGTGTGGCCAGCTCAGCCCTCCAGGGGGCGGGGCTGGCTGGCATGTGGTGCTGGGGGATCGAACCGTGGTCCCTGTGCTTTGCCAAGCTTGTTCCATGTAGGTGCTTTAGACCACTGAGCCATCTCGCCAGCCCCTGTCTTATGCTTTTTTGAGTTTTCCTTATTACCAATAACTGTGCTGGTCATAGTTTCCTTAAAATAAGTTATACATATTTTTTCCTTCAATGTTCTATCCTGTGAAATCTTTCTTGATTTAAATAATGGGTACTTCATTAATACTTATTGTTTACTTGATATATTTTATCTTCTATTATGACAACTTGTAGTTTTCTGTCATAAATGCAGACAAATAAACTCCCTTTTTTCTTCCTTCCCTATTAAAAATCTCAGATATGTGTTAATGGTCAACAGCTCCCTATATATAGGAGTATTTCTCAAATTACTCTGCCTTGCTTCTTCAGGGTTTGTTTCATATTCAGCCTCAATTTTTTGTCTGTTAACAGTCACAAACTTTTTGTGCTAGACTCTAGGCTAGTAGAATCTCTGTGCCAAGTAGCTGCAATTTTTTTTTTTTTTTTGAGATATTATTTCACTGTATAGTCGAGGCTGGCCTTCAACTTGGGTCAGTCCTCCTAGGGCCTCATGAGTGCTAGGATTATAGGCATGTGCCAGCAAACCTTGCCAGCTGCAGTTTTTTTGTGTGTTTCAATTTTAACAGGTTTACTGTAGAGTATATGTGGCTAAGTAATATTTGATAATTATTATATGCTTGCTTGTTTATTTACTTCTTTATTCTTTCTTTACTGTTATGGGGTCTCACTATGTTGACCAGACTGATCTGAACTTGAGATCCTCCCACCATAGCCTCTCTAGTAGCTGTGATTTCAGGTGCCACCACACCCATATTACTTTACATTTAAAAAATGCATAATGTGCCAGGGAAATAGCTCCGTGGCATAAAATCCCTGGCAAGCACAAGGTCCTGAGTTCGATCCCTGGTACAAAAAAAAAATGCATATTGTACACTATTTTAGTTGTTTATATTTCTGTTAGCTAAGACAATTTGACCATCTAAACTTATTAACAAGGTCTTAGCATCTTAACTTTCCTTTTGTTGGAAAGAAAGATAATAGAAAAATTCTCTTTTGTATAAGTGGGTGATTTGTTCCTAGGTTGCATCTGATGAGGACTAGAGGTAACCAGACTCTAGATTTGTTTTGTTTTTTGAGACTGTGTAGCCCAGGCTGACCTCAAACTCGCAGCAATCCTGTCTCAGCCTCAAGAGTGCTGAGATTATAGGCATCTAGATCTTTTTTTTTTTTTTTTTTTTTTGGCTCAGCCCTCTCTGAGGGCGGGGCTGGCGGTCCCCTGTGCCTGCCTAAACTTGCCTAAGCAGGTGCTTTAGACCTCTGAGCTATCTCACCTGCCTAGCATCTAGATTTTTATGATAATCATTTCTTGCTTTATGTCTAACTTACTGGTAGTATATATTTCTGATTTAGTGCCTTTTTTTTACTGCTTGTTTGGAGATTTTATCAGGGGAACATAGCTACTTATATACCTTTGACAAATGAAATTATCTTCCTCTATCAGGTGATCATCATTGTTAGAGCACACAGCTTCAGAACGGGTTGGGATGGTGAGTGAGGAAGGGGTCAACCAACTAGCCAGTCAGATCAGCCAAATCAACCCTGGTAATCAGTGGGGTGAGGTCTCAGCCAGACTGCCCTCACATCCAGTGTTACATCTGTCTTATTTGTGAGATTTGTCCATGTTATGTGTAGCTCTAGTACCTTTTAAAATTGTTATATAGCATTCTGATACTATAAATATTCTTGTAAATATCTAATAATGCACAAATGAACACATTTACCTAATATTACAGTTACCCATTTGTATATCTCCTAGATTAATGCCATTTTTTGGCAGCGGGGGAGAATCTTGTGATGTAGTTCAGGCTGGCTTTAAACTCATTATGTAGCCCAGAATCAATGGATGATACATGAGGATCATTCATGAGTTTAAGGCTAGGCTGAATTACATAGTGAGGTGCTATTTCAGGAAAAGAAAAAATGGATTCTTATGTTCTCTCAGCTATCTCACTTATAAGAATTTTGTGGCTTTTGACAGATAAAACCACTCTTTTGTCTGAGCTTCTCTGACCTGCTCCTGGGAATTTGCTGGCTTACTGAGACACTTCTTTATGGAACTTCAACAAACTATAAGGATGTTGTCTGTTATAACCTGCAAGCTGTTGGACAGGTAAGTGTGCCTTGCAAGGAGGCCATGCTCAGGTATAAGTAGGAAGCATAAATGATTCAGCCTTGAACACAGAAACCCATGTGTTCATTGTTATACTTTTGACCAATAACTTTCATCACTTTTCCATATTACAAAAATTTGGAAAATTCAGAGCAGTATAAATAATTAAAGATCATTCATATATA